TGCTGCGCGGTCTCGGGAAGCTCAGATCTGGCTTGCTTTGGAAAGCAGGAGGAGGCCGGCGAGCGCCGGCTAATTCCGGGGAGGCTGCGGCAGGGGGACCGACCGGGCCGGGTCCAGGGGCCTGGATGGGCGGCTGCCTGCGCCGCCGGTGCAGCTCCCTCCCTCCCGCTGCCTCTGTCCTGGTGGAGATTTGGGTATTCGCTTTTAAAAATTAACAAGAGACCTGTCTGTCTTCTGCACGGCTGCACCGTGGGCCTGGGTCCTCCTCTCTGAGACACGGATGCACTTTTATACAACTGCCTTGGGAACAGCCCTGCAGGGTGAATGGGCTTCAGTTTGGGGGAAGGCCACAGGCCAGGGGTGACTGGTACCCTGAAGGTATCTCAGACCACAGTTTCTGAAGGTAGCACAGTACTGAACAGCGCAGGACGAGTATTTTTCCATCAGAGACTCATTTCAGTACAAACTCCTGCATTAGGAGACGAACGCTGATTTATGTGATTTTTTTTTTTACCCTAAATATTCAGCTTTCCAATAAACGCAGTACAAGGGTTTGTTTCTATGCACAGTGTACACTTTGTGTTCTACAAAAAGCCCTGAGACCGGTGGTAAACAGCCCAGGTCACTGTCTAAACTGGTGCAGACAATCACTGCAAAACTAGGACTTCTCAATCATGAAAAAAAAAAAAAAAAAAAAAAAAAGACAACCTAAGAGTAAGTGTTCTTCCCCTTGTAATAGCGCATACAGTGTTTTAAATTCCCGTGTAACAGAGTCGTGCTTAGCTTCTATTTTAAAGGATAGGATTTTTTATCCTAGCGAATGTACTTGGGAAGAGATACCAGCTATTTATGGCAGAGAGATAACAGCTACCCTATGGGGAGTGGAGACCCACAATTCTGATGTAATCCAGCCCGTCACTTCCCAGCCTTTTGCATTTTAAGTCCTACAAGGCAGAAGTAGTATAATCTCAGAGATCAAAATAAACCAGTTCCAATATTCAGAGTGTTAAACTCATGAAGTCAGAACTAAGCTCTCTCCCTCAACCCTCTAAAATTCTGTAGGCCTTTGAAAAAAAACAACAAAGCACTAAAATAGAACAGCCACATTAAAATTCAGAATATAAAAATGACAGACATGATTTGGTTCCCCCCACGGGGGGGGGCAATTTCCCAGTCCCTGCCCTGTATTTAGCTAGATCTAAGCCATGGGCTTGGTCCCTTTTATCTGTGATCTAAATGTCCACAAGTTTCTAGATCGGAACTCACAGAGCAAAAATTTGAGCTTGAGAATACCGTGTATGAAAGCAGGTAGCAAAAGCTTAATTACCAGTAGCATTATGCTGTCTATATTGTTAAATGTGAACTCTGCAATTGAGATGTAAATTTGGTTGTGAGCAATGAATTAACAAGAGTTCTGAGATGCAGAAGAAAATCCAAGCATTCTGCAGACACTCGAGAAAGAAAAAAGATTTGTCTATTCAATCTAAAATGAGACATGTAATCAGTTTATAATTTTTTTAAAAAAATACACCAAAAGGCATTTGCAAAAGAAACATGATTTTTTCCTAAAATACAATCAAAGGAATACGGACGCTTATGCTGCATTAGAAAGATTTTTAGTTCGTATGATTAGGGCCTTGATTTCTGAATAAACAGAAATATTCAAGGTAATGGACACATTCGATCACACACACTTTTTAAAAGATCCACCACCCCCCAAAAACAGCATCTTATTTTTGTCCAGGAGTGTATCTTATACAAAAATAAACCCACCTGGCTGTCAAGGCTGTCTCACCCCGCCCGCCCCGTCCTGTCCTGCTTGACTTCTCTGAATAACCAGGCTGCTGCACACCTCCTCGTGATGCCCAGGAAATGGTTTTTCCCACAGCACACGTGGCCCGGCCTGTCATTCACCAGCGGGCTCAAGTCACCACAGTGCCCAGGAGCGATCTTTCTTTTCCCAGAAGTTTTTCGCCCCTCGGGTATTTCTTTGCCCTCATTAGGGGCCATCTGACTTCTTTAGAAACGTCGCACCTCCTGGGCCTGCGTCCGTCTGGCGTTTGTGCCATGGGACACACGCACGCACAGAGACAGGCGTGTGTCGTCACCCAGCTACCCTGCCACATCCCACCCACGGGGCCCCAGGCCGGCTGCTCTCCCAGTGGCTGACTGCACCAGGTGTCCTGCGCTGGCTGTGTCCCCCTGGGGCCCAGTCACCTGCCCGACTCCCCAGCCGGTGATTCCATGCACTGGTCTTGGATCCAGCTGAACGATTTAAACTGTCAAATAGTACCCGAGCCCCACACCTGGAGACGGCTTCCAGGATGTTTATAAACACACAGCCTAAGCCATCGCGAGGGTGCTATCCACAGGAAATAAATACGCCACGGAAAGTACTGAGTTTGCACCGTCAAGCATCCCAGCTACAGAGAACTCGGGACGGATACAACAGTCCAGCAGGAGCACGCTGCTAACCTGTCCGGGACACTTCACAATCTTACCACAAGGAGTCCACCCAAAGCAGGGGACGCGGCCCGCACGTCTCTGCCAGGCTCTCCGGAGAGCAGACACAGACCTGCACCCTCCATGTGTCAGGAAGGACCAGCCCTCACCACACACGCGACAAGCCGACCCCCCTGGGCAGCGGCCACAAACAGCCAGACAGCCGGGCACAGGGCAGGACATTGATTTCCTGTCCGCGTGAAAGAATGGAGCAGCCCGGTGTGAGCAGTACATTCCTGGGAGTCCTCACACCCAGCGTCGCTTCCCAAAATACCCTAACCCTAAAGGTACGAGAGACAGCCTTGCTGTTCCTGCCTGTTGATAGTTATTTTTAGCTCTCGGCTCCCCTTTGCTGAAAATGAACAGGAGGAATCTATACTGAAATATTTAAAACCCACCAGCACTGTTCTGAAAGCAGATTTTCATGTTATTCTGCACCTTTGTCACTTGTTAAATATTTAAGACCAAATAAGACATCACAGATTTTGATTTCCAAATTGCCTTTCATAGATCCTTCCCCGGGATCATAAACCTTTGAAAAGCTGTCTGGTGTTCGAGCCACTTTTCCTGCTGTCTCTGCTATATAACAGCCTGTGGAGTGTCACATAGCGTACTACAACAAAAGCAAGCCAAGGCAATTACAAATTATCTTTTTGTTATTGTTGCTGCTGTTGTTGTTTTGAGACCGGATCTCCTTATTTAGTTCAGGCTGGCCTTGAACTCACTAAACCGACCTCCAATTTATGGAAATCCTCCTGCCTCAGCCTCGCAGGGGTGGGATGACATACCACCACACCCAGCCACAAACTACCTTTAAATCCAAAAGAAAATCCCCAGGAACATATCTGGGAAAAGAATCCCAGATAACAGTCAAGGAAGCCTAGAAGTGGCCTCCCAGCCTGGCCTGGGACACGTGACCTGAGTGGCCATCCCTGGCTCCGTCCTCCGAGGCCCACCCTTTCCCATTGAGAGCTCCAGGCTTTCCCTGTGTGGGGATGGTATTTTCGGTTACCACCGAGCCGCTGTGGGTTCCTTGTCCTCTTCTCCACAGAAGCACTAATAAAACCCTCCCTCTGACAGCCCTCCCATCCTATAAATGGCCCCCCCATTGCCAAATGACAGAGTCTACATAAAAAGGCCCATCCAGGAGCGGCTTTATCCACGCTGGAACACACCGAGCTCTCGACCTAGTGTTTCTGGGAAGTGGGAATTTTACCAAGAAAAAGAAAAAGACAAAAAAAAATCCCGGCAAGACAGAGAAACTAGCAGAGGCAGTTTGGTGTCTGTTTAATTAATTCAGGATTATTTCACTTTCGTTTTGTCAAGCTAATGATATACATGGTACGACGACGTCAGTAAAAATTAAATTATAAACTACAGCAGCCCCGGTGGGAAAACGGACGGCAGGTCGGCTGTGTTTCCAACCTAGTCACCCTGGTAAAAGCGCAGGAGCCTTTCCTGGGAGCGGCACGGCAGGTATTTACGGAGCTGCAGAACACGGGAGAGTTCTCATCAGCAAATGAGGTGCTGTTCTATCTTTTTCCTGAATGCTACGCACCGTGAGCTAAAGGCAGAAAACATCCAAGGTCAATGTCCCGTTTTAGACCTTCTCAGGCAGCTCTAATATTATGATAATCAAGCGGCAAATATTCCTACAGAAAGAGTAAATTAGCCTTTTCACTTGAAAGATGATTATGATAAACAATAAACCTGAGAGAGGACAAAATCCCTCTTTTTAAAAGCCATAAATTGTTGACTCAATCATGTGTGATGGCGGAGTCCAAAATCAAGGGTG